TTTGTTTCCATTTTGTCATTTTCTCATAGTAATTCCATTCCCTTCTTTCCTTTCCCCTATCCCTCCCACTTCCCCTTCCCCTTTGCTCCTTTTCTTCCTATTTCACATTATCTATTATACCATTTAGTCCTTATTTACACTTTCAGTTTCTCACACTAGAGAAACTATTCGGTGCTTACACATGTGTGTCCTGTTTATTTCACTTAAGGGTATCGCCTCAATGTGCATCCATTTAGCTATAAATGTCTCTAATTTCTCATTTTTATGGTGAGTAGTACTTCATTTTATAAAAGAAAACCAAGAGACCTTTTTATTGATAGCTTGTTTATTTCTAAGAATGAGCCTGAAAATTATGTCCTGAGAGATTATAATTTGTAGTGTTATTAAGGAATAAAAGATTATTTTAAAAATTTTATCATTAGCTTGCAGTTGCAAACAACAGGATTATTACCTTGCAAGAAGAAATGGAACGAGTTAAAGAAGAAAGCGCCTACATACTGGAATCCAATCGGAAAGTGAGTCTTCCTTGGATTTATAAAATATTCATAGAGAACATGCTAGTGTGTCAGCCACAGAAAGAATTTCCAGAGGAGGTGCCCCGTTTGCATAGGTCATGCATGCTGTTTGGACCCGGCTGTGGGTGTATTTGACAGTGGAGGTGATGGGGAGGCTACACTCCTTCTCATACCTCGAGCTTCTTGCCTTCAAGGCCACCTACATGTGTTTAGCAACTTCAGGAAAGTGTAACTCGGTTTCCCATTTTATGTACTAATGATTTGTACTGAATGCTGTATTGTGATTTTTAAAATGCTATTATTGTCACACAGTGTTACTGTTTTGTAAGAAGTGACACCTCATTAATCCGATATCCTGGGAAAGAGTTACCATATAAATGAGTCTTCTAGATAACTTAATCCCTTGAAGTACCAAACTTTTATACATGTCTACGAACCTTTTGGCAAAGCTTTTATTTATTGCACAATTTGAAGCCTTCTTAATTAGAAGACATAGCCCACTTAGCCATTTATGATGGCTGAGGGTCATAACTGTCAACACTGTACTAAATTATCATGGTGCTATTTTAGGGGACTACAGAAACTGGTAGCACTCCTATCAGCCACACTCAGATATTCCCAGATGGCATGAGGTTTTTCCTGCCTGTTATGGTTTTGTGATTTTTCTGGCATCTTTCTTTACTGCTGCTAGTGTTGCTTTCTCTAGAAAAGCCTAGAGCCTCTCCACTTGCTTTTATCTTCATGCTCCTTATCTCTTGGGACATAGGAATCAACCCATCCAGTTAGTGAAATTGCTCCCAAAGAGTAACTAGGCCCTGAATGGGAACAGAAGCAGTTTTTATGTGCAGAGTGAGTGGTACTGATGTTTCAACTTCGTGAATACAACTGTGAGTGCTCAGAAGAATTTCTTATGACCTACTTATTTTTAACATGACCTCTCAATAGTTGAAGACTCCAGATGTGAGAACTCTGGAGAATTAACATAGTATCACTTAAACCTTTGGCCCAACTCATATTTTGCAGTGAATACTGTTATTTCTTAAAAACTGTTTTTAAAATGTCTAGCTTATGTTGTGGTAACATGTTTTAGGTTTTTAAATAAAGTGACAGGAAACTCCTAATTCAGCTTAACCTTTAAAATTTTCTAGACTTCTTAATTTCTTTATGGTCTTAATTCATTGTTATACCTACTTTCTAAGTATCATCACTTTTCTGTACTAAATAGTAATTCTAGTATCTGCTAATTCTTTGCTGATTATTTAACTTCTTGAATATATATTATCTTACTTATTTTTTCAAGGGTCCTAAGCAAGACAGAACTGCTGATGGGCAAGCACTGAGTGAAGCAAGAAAACATTTAAAGGAGGAGACACAGTTACGATTGGTAAGCATTGCCGAAGTCCTCGTAGCTCAGGAACACATGAAAAGTGGCTTCCTGAGGTATTGTCTTGCAGACCTGTTGATATACAGGAATATCGGGATTGTTCTGTAAAATTTTTATAAATCCTATGAAACTCTTATTCTTTTTAACCCACATTCCCCATAATGCTTTCTCAGTCCATTTTTTTAGTATTCTCAACAGCAATAAGATTTTGCCATAAACTCTTTTTTTTTTCTTTTTGCCTCTGTAGTTTGTATCACAGACATATTAAATGTTCAGAAGCTACTTTTAAACTGTGCGGTCCCCACTACTCCCTCACCTCAACCTTTCTTCCTGTAAAGATTCAGGAGAGCTTGGAGGGAGCAGCTTCTCTTCCCCTTACTAAGAATCCTAAATACAGAATCATACTCTTTAGCTGTTATTTCTGAATTTATTCTTGATCTTAGATACAAGTGGGAAAATTTATAGGAAGGAATACTGTTCCTGTAACATAATTTATCCAAGTATTAGGCTATCAGTAAACCTTGGTATGAGCATATTAGCTCATGCTTAAGTTCAGATAAGTGATAAACAAAGTAAACCCATACCATAATGTCTCTAAGAACAGGGTAAAGCCTAAAAATAAGAGTGACTTAATCTGTGCTTAAAAGTTACTACAAATTACCAGTATAGCCAATGAGGTGGCACATGCCTGTAATCCCAGCACTCAGGAGGCTGAAACAGAAGAGCTCCACGAGTTTGAGGCCAGCCTGGGCTCCATAGTGAGTTCGAGGCCAGCCTGGGCTCCATAGTGAGTTCAAGGCCAGCCTGAACTACACAGCAAGACCATGTCTCAAAAATAAAAACAAACAAAAAATTAGCAGTATATAACAACTTCAGGTTGAAAGTGCAGCAGTGTTATTTTAACATCCTTAAAATAGTTAGCATTTGCTGTGTGAATAAAAATTAGATCTCAAAACACTTTTCCTAAGGAGGGTCCTAGAAATAATGCAGCATTTTCATATACTCTATGGTTAATTTTTGGTCATGTACAGAGGAGAGTCTGTGTTAAATGGTACATACTAAAAATCTTCAAACTTTTCATATTTTTTAATCACAATAAGTTAAATATTTATTAAGAAAGTAGGTAAGAACAAACCCAAAGCTCATACAAGAAAGGAAATTATAAAGATCAGAGCAGAAATCAATGCAATGGAGACTAAGAGAACGATACAAAAAATTAATCAAA